ACAACCAAATGTTCCCCTTATGTTCGGCTTTAACTAGGGCATTGGAGCCCCTCCATAAAGAGCAATGGAGAAGCTTTACTCAATACAGTTCGTTCGCTAAATGACGCAGCATAGAGGCCAGCCATGCAGACCAAAGTCTTGCGACGCACAGTAATGCACATGAGTGATTGATTGTCTGTCGAAATGACCCATCATCTGTAGTCTTGGTGTGGGCACTTGCTAATGCCTCCTGTTTGATTCAGACGAGATTAGTGATGGTCTTAGACAAACTAAAACGGACACAGAAATTACTCGCGGCTTGGTAGTCGAGCCATCATGCCGACCCGCCTCGCCCCTAACACATTAATAACAACAACAACAACCGAAGCATGAGTGGACATCTGGAGTCTAACGTAGCTGTCAACCTCTCCTCGCCCCCTTGCCAGACAATCTGACAATTTTATCCATACATCGGGACCTGCTCATAGTTTGTCCTCGTTAACTGCTTGTTTTTCCCTCAAGAGTGATACTGTCGTTCTTTATGACATCCTTTCGTCCAACGAACAGTTACTGCCACCGAGTGGAAAATGCTCGAGTACAGGACGACTACTTTTGCACGACTCTGTTCTTTTGCTTTGTGTTAGATGGAGCTGTAAGACACTCCAGTTGTACATTTTTTCCCACTCTCTTCAAACATGTTTTCGGTTTATTTTCTGAATGTTAAAAACGCTTTATGTTATAGAAAATTATGCAACGAATCAAGCCTGGTGAGTGGTCCGTTAAAGTTGGAGGAGGCCACTTTTTTCTAATGGAGAGGCCCGAACACATAAAAAGGTGTTCCGTCTGCTAAAGCTTCGATTTTGCAAAACTCTTCACTCCTAATAAAACGAAGAGGAAAAAAAGAACATAATTTTCGACATCCAGCATGAGCAAAAATCAAGAAACATGTTAGTACGGAATAAATTCCATAACTTTAATTACTACTTTACGCACGAAAGACTTCAACTATGTTCTACAAGGTAATAGAAATTGAAAAAACCGTAATCTATTGCGTGAATCAAATCACTGTTCAGAAAAACAGCGCTCTCTCATAGATATTTCGCTAAAGCGACCGCGGATGACGCTTTGCGAAAAATGAGCCACGAACAAACACTTCAAAAGAAAACCCGAGGACTCCGAAATCTCCAGCAAAATAGCAACTTCGGCTTCCGAATAAAAGATAAGACCTCAGCATAACTAACCAGGAGACAATGCGGCAATTTCAGATAACTACAGAATATATCAAAGAATTTGTTTTTTTTCCTTGGAGATAGCAATCGGTTAGCCCAATGTGTTTACCTTGGCTCACATTTTGATTGGAGGCCTTTATATTGTAACCCACTACTCTGCATACAAAGATCAAAGCCTAACCTCGTGGAAGATAAAATAGTTTTTGCACAGAGATCGTATTGCACAGTAGCTGTTTTTTGAATTTATAATCGATGTTGCAAATGTAAGTTTTGGATTAAAAATGTAATATTAGGAGGTTTGGCGGATTAGCTTAATTTGAATTGACCTAATTGTGAAAAAACTCGAGACGTTTGGCGGGATTTGAACCTGCATACTAGAGAAGGCCTTTACCGGAAGTCAACGCTCTAACAACTTGAGCTACAAACGCCCTACCTAGCGCCATGAATTTAATCACACTTGGGTCGATTTTACCGTCTAACTTTACCGTTCGTATGGAATCCACCAATACGGAACAGCAAGCTGATTGCTCAGGCAAGATTTTCTAAGCAATCATCTAGAATCCACTAGAATGACTACTCGGCTGATTTAATTATAAGGTTTGACAGGTTTGCTTAATTTGGCGGGTAAAATCAACCCAAGTGTGAGTAGATTCATGGCACGAGGTAGGGCGTTTGTAGCTCAAGTTGTTAGAGAGTTGGCTTCCTATAAAGGCCTTCTCTACTATGCGGGCTCAATGCCCGCCGAACGCCCCGAGTTTTTTCACAATTGGGTCAACTCAAAAATGTAATAGTTAACTTTCTGTGCCTTACACAACCGCACAGTTTTGACGTTGGAATCATTAAAAAAAGCAAAAATTATGATAAAATTAAACATATGTGCTCATTTCAGTAAGCGTTTTTCTTTCCGAACATACAAGTTTACTAGTACTGCATAAAGATAAGCCTGATGTGAGAAAAAATCTCGAGTCCCGTCATTTCGCCATCAAACGCGTAATAGAAAGTGAATGTGAGATACTACAGATGCCCAATAAAGGCTTAGACCTATCACGTAATCAGATGAAAACTGCCCGCAAAGACAAGAGAAACTGTGATGGTCACGTTGGGCTCATCAACCAGACATACCCACGCCGGTCACCAGGGTTAGACATGACTGGCTGATGACCACTTGTGAGCCAAAAATAGCCATTTCAGTTTCCCTTGTTTTTGTCGGCCTTGTTCATCCTGTCCCCCCCCCACTACGGTCCACTATGCGGCTGCTGGCGGGACCTAAAGGTGACCCAGACGAGTTTTTGATTGGCGGAGATTCATAAAGCAACCAAACATGTTGTTCGAAAGAGGAAGAAATTATCAGGTACCGAATCGATGTTTGGAAAAAGATATAACCAAAACATAAAGAGTTGCATAATTACACTTCATAAAAATATGTAACCAAGACTAAGTTAAACGTCGAGGCATGACAAGTACTGGTAAATTGCACGACACTCTACTGCAAAGTTAGCATTTTGAACGAAACAAGCCAATTTACTTTTCAAGGATCGGGCTCCGGGAACTGCACAAATACTTAGGGACAAAGCTAAAACGATAAGATACATAATAACATTCAAAGAGCTCTACGTAACATAATCATTCCTTGAGAATTTTCTTAGAAAACACTTGCGGTCCGGATTCAAAATTATGCATCTCAAGAGAGGCTGATCTTGATTTGAAAGATGAAAAAAGGCAGGCCTCAGTAGGTTTGCTATTGGCCAACCGCAAGCTTGGCACGCACCTACTTATGCATCCCGTGTAGCTGCATGTGACAGTAAACTTAGGACCAAACACTCGAAAATTTATTAAGTCAAGGGGTAGAATAACGAATACCTGATTAGGCCAAAATTAATTTCCATAAGACAAAAACCCACTTCACCCCAGGCCCCTCCCGTAAAACCGTGTCCTAAAAACATGTTCGAACCTCTATCGTCGATACACCTTACGCCTGCCTAGACCAGCAAAAGTGTGGGGATTCAAAACCGTTAAAATGGCTACAAGCAAGCATCTCCTTCAAAGATAATTTTCGCTCAATTTGCTTGTTCCTACAAGAGTGACATAACTTAGTGGTAGAAATAAATACTTCAGTATTTTGTCCTAACTGATCGAATTAAAAAGTGTCTTTCTCTGGAGGATAATTTAATTTATACGTATTTGCTGAAAAAGATAAACTAAAATTACGATAAAAAATACGACAAAATTTCACTGTTACAAATTATTCAGAAAGAATATTTTTGGAAAAGGAGTATAGCTATATATTATATATTTGAAAAGCAGTACATTTATTACCAGTCGTTGTGGGAGAAGAGCATTTCCTACTGTTACTAGACATAACGTTTGGGTAAACCTAGGAAGGGAACCGGGTGGTTATACGCAGGAAGAACCCCCCACGAAGACACATTACGTCAGTTTCAGTTTTCAAAAAACGCCCACAGTTGAAGCTTTCCCTGGCTGGTTGATTCAATGATCAAACAGTCAGGCAAATTCAAATAACAGTTCCAGTCTATCGCAAGCAGTTCACTTCTATCATTAAGATTGCCTCTAGATAAGATGACATTTACCCACATTGAATAGATTACTTAATTTTCCATCCTAAGGTCTTATATTCACAACTTAGGAGGTATGTGATTCTGACAAAACCGACGACCAGGATTACATTAGGAGAGAAAACAAAGCTGGACTCTTAAGAAGAGTTTTGAAAATACTGTCGCAATAAGCAAACTGAACTGACACGGAACAAAAAGTACCTGCCAGCAAAAGAGCGGCTTGGCTTCGTGCTTAGTACCTACTCACACCAAACCACTAAAAACAAATTGGGCAGCCTTATGTCTAAAAGACCTACTAGCGTACAGCAAAAAATCTACATTCACAGGTAGCTACGTCTACCGTTTGTCCTAGATAGTGGGCACAGAAAGGTGATTTGCAAATGAATTAACTTATAGAAAGAGACAGACCTGCGCAGAATATACCGCCATCTCTACTCCCTCACCTGCCTGATGTCATTGAAAAGACAATGTCAAGATGGCCGGAAGCTGGATCTGGGACCTAGTAAATTGCCTGCAAAATAACCACTGGTTCGGATGCGCTACATCAAGTCGCTATTATCTCTTGTAGCCTTATCTAAAGATGTCGCTGTTTTCGTTTATATCGTAATTTCTAGCCCATTAGTACTAATTAGAAAACATAGTAGGCCCTGTTTCAGAAACACTGGTTTCTCAAATGATTTAAAGAGAGACTCATAGAGGGGCCGTCTAATGGTGAAAGGAGTTGCTCTGTTAGTTTTCCGCGTCTAAAGGCTACATTTTTAACCAATAGGAGTTATTTTTTATAGATTCTTTGTTCATATGCTTTGTTTTTTACTAACAGTTTTGTTTTTTTACTAACAGCTTTCCAGTTCGTTTTGTTCTTTCTACAACCTTTTCACCTGGGTTTTAATTCAGTAAAACAATTGCAAACGATTTTAAGTTATTTCCCAATATGCACGTATCGAACAGTAAACACGCATTAATTACGCATTAATCAAACATTAAGTCTTTAACCATGAATTGCGTAAGGCACTTAGGCTGGGAAACTGTTGCCACTGGGCGGC